TTTTGTGTAATAAACACTTTATTAGTCTTCTCTAAAATAAATAAGAGCAGATTCAAATTGATTGTGAATCAGGGACGGATCAATGCTCAGTTGACAAGAAGATTGCAAATTTTCCATCGGGGCTGCATCCTTATCTTAGCTTAAGTCACAAAGTCTGTTGTGAATTTTTAGAAATGAGTGAACCTTGCGAAACGAAAGTACCAACTCATTTTCAGAATGGTAACAACTGAAAATCGTTGAAAACAAGCATCAGCAAACGTCGATACTGGATTCATCCTATTGATTAAGGAATTACGAGAGTCGAACAATGTAAATAGACACATAGAATACTTGCGAATGACGACGGCAAATTTTGACTACATTTTGGATTTAATTAGACCTCCCATCACTAAAGTTGGCACACATCTTAGAAAGTCTATTAGCCCTGATTTATCAAAATCTCTTGACACTCCGCCATGTTTGACTACAAAATCTGATATTATTAGCCAATAGTATGCGTATTCGTTAACAAAAAGGTCAAAAAGTGCGAAGATCATATCTTCATTTAATTTAAAAAGGTCAAAAGTTCAACTGTTCTAATAATCACGTAAACGAAATTTTCGTCGAGTTTTCGTTCAAACTTTTCGTTGCGGCAGTTTTTGTTCTAATTTTCGTCGATATGGACGATAGTGTGGCCTAGGCTTAAGGGTTTACCGTTAAATTATATCTATCCAATCTTTATTTTTGATTGTCATATTTCCAAATATCGTGGCTTTTCACAGAAACATTTAAAACTGTAAAATGCCTTACACCTATTGGAAATCCAAAATTTTAATTTTTGTGAGAAAAAACTTCACATTGTTTCTTTCTTTTTAGTTGTTACGTGGACTTTTGTGGAAAATTCTTAAGGAATGCAACCGTCTTGATGCTAAATCTGTAGCAACGCCGTTATTGGGGACAGAAAAACATAATTTTCCCAAAAATATTTTGTTTTACGTCTAATGAAAGAAGAGTTCGAAAGATTTAGTTCTATATTTCAACAAAGTTCACTGAAAGAAATCAAATTGGTGATATGTGATCCGGTTAAGAGAAGACAAAAGAACTCCACCGGTATGTTGAACTTAGAGTTTAAAATTTATCTAAATATTCACAATGTAATCAATATTTTTTAGGTCAGTTATAATTTTCTCAATATTTAGACGCTATTTCAGCCAATGAAAACGGACGCTCTGTTCTTTTTTGCTTGGCTGTGGCGAAGAATCCATAAAACTTTAAATTTTTGGCCTTTCCGATGGAGAAATCTCCTCTGTGTTACAAAAAATTGACAAGTTTATCAATCAAACTATTATAAAGAAGAAATTACGTAGTGAAAATCTTTACGATGTCATCCTAAAAAATAAGGATGAAATAAAACAGATTGCAACTGATGCTCTTTTAAGAATGAGATGTGAGGATGAACAGACGATTTCTTTAACAGGTTTGCACAACAAAGTTAATAAAACAAGCATAGTTCTCGAAGAGCTCATTAACAAGTTTATTAAAGAAGAGAAAAGACTCAAACAACTGAGATACTTGTCAGAAAATGTTCAATGGAATTACTATGATGTACATAATAACTTTATCCACTGTAGTGAATAGTTAAGCAAAGTTCTCGAGATTTCTCATGTGAATGGTATACAAACAATGGATTTACCAGACCCAAAAGGACAATTGCTTGAATTTAAAGTGGATCTGTCACAAATAACAGCTACCAATACTAAAACGGGCGAAATAAAGAAATTTTTACGGAAGATTATCGGCTTAAATCCTGGTTTGCACTCTTTATTATTGATAGGTGATTAAATGTGATATCCTAAAACAGATCATCTTCGAAAATTTTTTTGAGAAAACATGATCTCAACAACTACTATTATTTGTGATAATTATCTCGTTTATTTGATTATTTTGTGCTTTGAGCAGTAGTGGTATTTTTTTGAAAATAAATTTCAATGGAAGGAGAAGAAGGCAAAAGGTCTCCCTTTGTTTTGAGAAACAATAAATATGTTATTTATTTACTCATTTGATTGACTGCTTAGAAATGTGTGTAAAACTATCCTTGATGCCCTGAGAATATTTCTTTTAAATTTCTCTGCTCCATCATGTTGGTCACCCCAACCTTCTGATTAAGTTGTAATCTTGTCGGACTGATACAATCATCCGCTAAATACATCGAGATTGAAGATTATTTTGTTCCTCAAGGAGGAAGATCTGATCAAATTTATAAGATTCAGAGAATACAGAACCCTCAGTTGTATTCTCGGCACCAAGCCTTTAAAAGTTCCATGCGTGGTGATGTGAATGAAAGGCGTCTCTTTCACGGCACTAATCCAGATAACGTTCATTCAATAAACTTAAATAACTTCAGCCGATGCTTTGCAGGAGGAAATGGTAAAAGTTACATATTTCTCAAACGCAAAACGATCTTAACGCTATCTTTCTAAGAAACTTCATAAAATTTTTCACTGAAGTATATGTTTTTTTAAGACAGCAGAAATAGATTTTTATCGGGAAATTTTATTTCAAATATGTCTTCTGCTTATAGCTGTAATGTATAGAAACGGTGTATATTTTGCAAGAGATGCATTGTATTCACTCAGGTACTGGCTTCAAAAGTGTTCTGGATCACAACCAAAGATGTACATCGCTAAAGTTCTTGTTGGGAAGTATACTTGGGAAAGAAAGAGCTAAAGGCACCACCATCGAGAAATGATCCGAATAATCCAGGTTTACTTTATGATTCTGTTCGTGGATAACACAAGCAATCCAACAACATTTGTCATTTTCCAAGACAACCAGTGCTATCCCGAGTATCTTATAACATTAAACAAACATTAAAACAGTTTTAATTTGTGTTTCATTACGAAGTATATCAGTTCTGCAATTCTTATTTTAGTAATGATCAGTTTTAGTCAGTATATTTCTTTCACCAGCACGATACTTTTTTATACTTTTCTTTAACGACAAGTTCGTGTTATGCACTCTACGTAAAAATTTCTCTTTGATATTTTCTCCTGAAATCAATGATGTGAATATGACTGATCTCATTTCTTGTTTTGACTACATGTCGTAGATATTTGTCCTTTTTAATCAGGTTTACAGTTAATTACACACACTTCTACGAAAATCTAACATCAAATCTTCTGATGAGATCATGATGAGACAGAGAAAAAAGTTGTATCCATTAAAGTATTGAATGTAAATAGGGGGTTGACATTTGGTAAGGGGTGGATCTATATTCCTTCTAATTTTCTGTACCCATTGTTATAGCTAATCTAAGGGAGTTTGGTAGATGTTGTCTTGTCAATAAATATCCAACCGCCAAAAATTTGGTAAATAATAAACTTGACTTGGTTGCTTTTATTATGATACGCTTGTAAATGATTAATTGGTTCCTCCTCCATATTAGAATACTCACAATCAAAATCACCAACACTGATAAATGAATAATAATTTCAGCAAAAGAAAAGAATATGATTACAATGGTATAAATCTAAAGACTGTTCACCAATACCCTCAGACTACTCCACACAATCAAAGTGTTTGGTTTTTAGAAGATCTGCATTACATAGCTAAAATACTACCATAAAAATGTCTTTTTTCATTCTTCTCATTTTTTACCAAACTCACCGAAATGCTTGTAGAATAATCATCATGGCTATTATAACAAATAATCATCGTTATAATCTGCAGAAAGCAATTATCATTATGCCGACGACGACACTGAGACGAGCAATCTTGAGTAGCGAAGTTTCGACCACCTAACAACTACAGCCATTAATTTGGAATGGGAAGTTGTCAATCAAAGCTCTTGAATTATTTTTGACGATCAAGGTGAGTAAAAAATGAAGGTTTAAAAATACAGAATAGTTTCGAAAAATTGTTGTCGAGACTTCATTAAGTAATCTGACATTGAATACAACGATTAAAACCCAGGATGGTGAACTTTCACCGAATCAATCAGAACTGTTCGATCACGATGAATCTAAGTTAACACAGAAGAAAAGGCAAATTTCAGCAAAATGCCAATGGAAATGTGAGTGATGAATGAAATGTTGAGTAATCCTAAAAATTAGCAAGAACCCATAAAATAGTTATTAGCCAATCATAAATTAGTATCTTGGCATGATATCTCAATCCTCGATGCTGTCTTCCACACCTCACACCTAAATGGAAATTTATATATAGTAAAGCAGCAGCATTGTTTTTTTGTTCTTCAAAAATTTTCTACTATATAGAGCTCAAATTTTTTATGTGACAACAGCTCAAGTAAAAGCTACCAAGACGACTTTTGATGAACTTTGCAAATTTTAATGGTCATCATTGTCACATTATCCTCATCTTAGTCTTTCAAAGAAGTTCACAAACTCACAAAGGGCCCAATTTCAACCACAATAACTACATGAACAATATGATGTAAAATGCGAGAAAATAAAAACTTAGTGAAAGATGTATACAGTTCCATTTTATTTGTTAGATCAATTCGATAACAAGAAAAAACAATGAAAAAGCTCTTGAGATTGTTCCAGAGGCATTGCTAGGTTAATCGCGATGGGTGGGGTTTAGCATACTCTTATAAAAATTGTGAACTTAAGAGATCTCTACAACGCAACTTCCCTTGATTTCAGAAAAGTTTTGTGATAATATGAAAGACATGCGTTGGCAAATTAAGTTAAAAGATAGGAAAACTTTCTATAGTTGACTAATCCAAATATGTCAACAATGGAATTCAACTTAATCTTATCTGCAGTGTCACTTTTTATGCAAATGTAATCTAAATGTTTAAGTTATTCATCCTATGATATCATTTAAGTATAATGGAATACTCTGTAACTTATTGAAGCGTTCTGAAATTGAAATCAGTTCACACACCCTGTCCTTTTTCTTCAAATTTCGAATTCAGAAAATGAAGAAATTAGACTTTAGAATAATTGGGACAACATGTCGCCCATATCTATCTCTGGCTACGCCCCTGAATTACTCTATTACTTATTTAATGTTATAAGATACTCAGGATAACACTGATTATCTTGGAAAATTACAAAAAATTTTGGGTTGTTTACGTTATTGACAACAGAATCATAAAGTAGACCTGGATTACTAGAATCATTTCTTGAAGGTGGTGCCTTTAGTCCATGCATGCCAGATGTGTACTTTCCAACAAGAACTTTGGCAATGAACATCTTTGGTTGGGATCCAGCAGAACACTGACGAAGAGAGTAATCGAGTGAGTACGATGAATCTCTTGCAAAGTATACTCCGTTGCCATACAATACTCCTGTAAATTGGATACACATATTTGGGAAAAAATCTTTCTGTATTGTGGAAAAATTTTTATTTGTGCATTCTTTAGTTTGGTTTTAGCAGGTCGCCATAAACTTGGAAAAACTTCAAAAATTTTCTCAGAAAAACAGCCAAAGCACTTTCAGTTTATGATTCTCTTTCTAATTATTATAAAAAGAATTTATTACCAAAGGAACTTTTCAAAAAATTCTCATGGTGAAACTGAAGCTATCTGGAATTCTTACCATTGACTCCTGAATAGTTTCGGCTAAAGTTATTCGAGTTTATTGCTTCAACGTTCGCTGAATTAGTGCCATGAAAAAGACGCATTTCATTCACATCTCCACGCATGGATTTTTTAAAGGTCTGGTACCGAGAATAAAGCCCAGGGTTCTGTATTCTTTGAATCTCGTAAATTTGATCAGATCTTCCTCCTCGAGCCACAAAGTAATCTTTAATCTCGATGTATTCGGACGAAGATTGTGTCAGTCCGACAACATTGACAACTTGATCGGAGGGTTGGGGTGACCAACTTGGTGGAACTGAGAAATCTTAAGAAGTATAAAGTATTTGCCACTCAAATAGTTTCTAACTTACAAGGATAACAACAAAACCTCGAAAATTCATACGAGTTTCCAGGTAATAAAACGCTCAAATGTATTTTCTGTTCCTTGAAAGTGTAGAGAAGATTAAAAATAAAAGGATCAAAACTCTACCTTTAATTGACAAAATTTCGTCGTTGGTTAGCTCACTAAGATGATTTTTGAGTAAACTGCTTTCTTTCCTCACTTCATTGCTCAAGCCAGTGAAAGAAATCGTTTTCTCATCCTCAAACTCCATTCTCACGTTATTCGGGACTGTCCACAATTTATCTGCGAAATGGTTTAGAACTAGATAATAGAGTTTTTCATAACTTATTTTTATTGTGGTGATATTTTCATAGACGAACTTTTCGAGATTTTGCAATGCAGAAGAAATTTCGTCATCAGAACGTCCAATAATCTTAAGCGTTATGATCTCTTTACCACAACCAAATGCAAAGGGAACATGGCTCGGCTTCAAATTAGAGGAGCTGCTATCTAAAGGGAAAAGTTGGTTCAAAACGCTGATTAAATATAGTTCAGACAAGGTTCCTTTTTAACACTGTCGTAACTATATTTTTTTGTTACTTCAATCTTTTTCTGACAAATCCATTTTCTTCATTTAATATATTCATAGTCATTATATTCTCAATAAAAACTCACTATTTGTAGTCTGTCTTTGTGCTCCATCCGAATCGTATCTTATCAATCTGATTTCTTTCAGTAAAGTTTGTGGAAACGTTGAACTAAATCGTATGAATTCCTCTCTCATCATAAGCAAGACAGCGTATACAGGAAAGTTGTGTTTACCCGTTCCCATCATTGGCAACGCCACTAATTTGGCGGAGCGTTGGTTGCATTCCTCGAGAATTTTTTTTAGAAGATTTCGGAACAGCTTAAATTAATAAACCATAATTTTTTAGAAATATTCTAGCATAAGGTAATGAATGTGACTTGGCTTCTTAAACAATTATTATGTCATTCAATCCTTACTTCTTCAGCGTTACCTCCTGGTGTCCAATCACAACAAACGGCATGAATGACAAATTGACAAGAAAGATTTCCTGCATTTGTTGTGGCTATATCCCCATAGGAAATGTGAGTATGGCTACTACATTCTTCGACGTATGAATTTCCGCCAATCTTATTAAATGCTTTTCCTACCATGGTTGTATGACCAAGATTTGGGAGCGCTGAGTTGACCAAAACATCAGCCTTTAATTAAAATAAGAATGGTGTTTTCATTTACTTATCAACAAAATCTATGTTTTTTTCTTAAATATGATACAAAAAAAAATATTATAAAAAAGAGCAAAACTTGCGACCCTCCCTTTATGCTTTGTTTGCCGACAAGAACATGGTAACAAATCGAAACAAGAATGTATAATACTCACCTTTTCTTTGGCGAGATCACCATATTTCCATGAAACCTCTAGACCTTCTTTAGTTGTAAAATTGCATACATTAAATGGTTGGACATGTTCTTCATGTTTGTCTATTACTATTGCCATGACTTTCGTATTTTGTTTGAGAACAAGATTTAAGTATTTTTGTCCAATGTCACTTGAAAATAACTTCAAAACTCCAGGTAATGAGTATGGTATTATTTTCGTTCTTATTTCTTTTTTTAGCTCTATTATGCGTGCTTCTGCCTCTTTGATTCCTTTCTCTGTACCAGAATATTTCAGGGATCTTTCACCTATTGTAATTTCAACATTCTCCTCTTTAAGTCCAGCTTCAATTGCCTCAAATTCGTTCTTTAGTCTTTCTTTCATGAAACGAGCGATCTCACGATCCTCGTCGACAGAGAGATGTTTTATCTTTTGAATACGAAAAATGATTTTTAATTATGTTTTAAAATAATTAATGACTTCTGATGGGCTAATAGTCTTTTGTGAAAGTTGTCATGCCCATCGAAAGACGTAATAAGTTTAGGATACGACTATTTTTTCAATGCTATTACGTCATTCCTGAATGAAGAATTTGTATATCACGTTGTTATACCCTGATGAAAGATATGGTAAAAAATGCAACATAGATGGCTTATTCATACAAAGTTGCGTCACGATTTTTGAATTAAGTTTTTACTTAATACGAAAAATATACAAAGCTTAAGTTTTCTTATATGAAACTTTTGAAACTATCTATCTCATAAAATTTATTTCATCAGTTTAGATTTGACAATTTGTGTTTGTGGTTTACTGACGTAATAAAAGTTCTCTTTTAGTAAAACTTTGACTTACTACATTTTCGTTCAGTGAGGAATCTTGGTTATCACGGTATATTACCTTTGATTTTCGTCGACGCAATCTGTGAAAGAAACTGAAGAAACCTCTTTTCTTCGGTTGAAATTTTCTTTGTGCACTTTCTCTTTCACTAATTGACGTTTGTAACTGTGAAATTGATGAATATATGTTTAAAAAAGTATATCAAAAACTCAAGTTTTTAAATAAAATATCCAGTTGTAAGCAGGGGCGGATCTAGGATTTTTCAAACATCAGTCATAAAACGTCGGAGGCGCACCGCACCTGGGGGGGGGTCTGAGGCATTCTCCCCTGACAAATTTTGAATTTCAGAGCCTTGAAAATGCCATTTTCAGCGTATTAGAGCAATACAAAATGTATTTTGTGGGCATCGTTTTTGCGTAAAAACAACACATTTTGCTTACGTTTTTTTAAAAAAATACTGAAGTGAACAATACTTGAATGTTTTGCCAAATATTTAGGCTCATTATCATGCCAAATATATGGCTCATTAGCATGTCTAGGAGCGTAAAATTTATTAAAAATTTCTTCCAAGTTGTCAGCCATAGACCCCCCCTAGAGACCCCATTCAAAGCTCTATGTAATAAGTTAAGTTAGAAATTTGGTACTACAAGGGACAGTTCATAGGTACAGAAAAGCTCAGACTTCAAACCATGCAAGTTTATTGTAACCCTTCACCCATCTCCACATACAGTGCCAGAAAATTCACCTTTTGAGAAAAAACTCAAAACTTTTTTCTGCCAAAGATTAAGAAAAAATTATCAGAGTGAAAATTTGCAATTAAGGCAGCTTAATGCCATTAATGTTTATTAGGCATTTCACTAGACTATTATCTTCTGTAAGTATATGGAAGGTGTGCTATATAGCAATCAATAGTAGCATTGTATTTGCAAATACAAACAGAATGTAACCAAAATGTCATTAATTATATAATTACATGAATGTTAAAATTGGTTCATGTGTCATGCTTACTGGTTATGATAAATATCTTTTCATATGATCAAAGCTCGTTTAAATGTAAATATGAAATAATTTAGTTTAGAAATTATAATGATCATCAGAAAAATTACCTAGTGATCATGAAAAATACTTTGCTGTTTTGCCAAATTTCAAGGTTTATCTGCATACATAGGAAGACGTTTTTACTTCATAGAAAATCCTTTTTATACATCAATAGCCCTTTGGAATTTATGGCAAACAATCTGGTATGAGCCGTAGATCAACACACCTTGACATCTCTACATAAGGTGTTCAGTTAGAAAAGGGGACAATATTTCACATACATTTCATAATTCCCAAAGCACTAAAGAAATCATAGCTAAAAGTTCTTCGGCAACAACAATTTTAGAAGAATCAATCTGCTTACCATACGCCATATTGACATAAATCGCATCACACACTCGCATAAATTGACTTTGATATATTACATTCATGCATAGACTTCACTTGTCCTTTACTTACGATTTTGAATGTAAATTCCTGCTGATAAAACTCACAACAATGTTGGCTTTCTTTTGAACATCAATGACTGAAATGTCGCTCGCGAGATCGTCTTTGCCAAGCATTTACAATTTATCCATCAATTTTTCACCCATTTGAAAAAATTCACAGTTTGGACAGAAGCATTCATGTCAATATATGAATTTGTAAAAGATTTCCATAAATTCCATCTTATTGTAGTTTAGTTTCTATCATGCTTAAAAAAATTACTATGAAACGATCAAACATTCAATTCAGACAGTGAGCTTGACTATATTAGTTCATTTGGCTATCAGTCGAAATCGGTCAAACCAATCACAGTAAGACAAAAATTTCAACGAACCAATTACACGATAGCAATTGGACTCCCTTTATCGGTCCGGCCACCCCGCTTATCGGTCGAGATTATTCCAGATCGTCTACTGATCTGGCTATTGACCAATGGAATGGCTTAAAGAAGCGTTCTTGAACTCCATTATCGGTCGAACCAGTCGAGCCACCCCGTTTACAGTCAACCAGTTAATATAATTCTAGATATGTTTCTATTTACTGATCTGCTTACTGAAGTGGGATTTGTATAAGTTTTCATACATAAAACTGAAATTTGACGATGAAATCCAAACGATTACAGAACGAAAATTCAATGAACAAAAAAATTGTAATCATGAAATTTAATAAACCATTTTTGAACTATAAACATATGTCGCGTGACTAATTTGACATACCCTAGATCCGTACCTGGTTGTAAGTAACAAGTGTTTTCGTTATGAGCTATCAAAAATATTCACAATTTCACAAAGCTATAACATATTGTAAAGTAATAACAAACATCAATATCTTACATTAGTTTCTCCTTGATGATACCGTTTGGGAATGAAACGCTGGAAAGCGCTATAAGAATAACAAACAGATCATAGGTACAAGGTTGGTGTTAAGAATTTAATAGTATACATCATATATCATACTTCCAACAATGTCCTGGTGTTTCCATTTTGTCAGTTGATGTTTGAGTGATTGTCACAACTCTTTCACGAATCTAAACTCTTCTTTTACAATTTAAATTTCAACTAAATTCGTTTATTGACACTGAATATAGATCTATGTAATCATTATACACATTAACAAACTTTCAAAAATCTGTCGACATTTTCAAAATTCATTGATCAATGACGTTCACAAACCTTTATCTCGTCAAAAAAATTCTAGCTAAAATATTTTAGAGTTACGTAAATGAAAAATAACTAACTTAGTTTCAAAATGAACGAAGTAGTAGCTTTGAAAAAAGTAGCTAAGTCAAAGCTTGTTTAAGATCAGGAAATCAAGGCTATTGTTGCTTTTTTTGGACAGTTCCTTCCTTACGAAACTTTTCCAAAATATATGCCTTATAGAAAACTCTCCGGTCTATTTTCAACAACGTTGGGCTGTGAAGGGGTTGCAAATACGGCAATAATTAGTATGTATTCGTGAATACTTCATAAATTTTGATGAAAACCTTCTACATTTAAGAGAAAAGCATTCTAAAAGTTTAAAGCAACACAATAACGTGCATATTTATAACGCTTCAAACCGCAAAAGGCGATAAAATATTCGTACAGTTTTCTTTTTTGACAACACTTTCTACAACAACAACTGCCAGCAAATAATTATACTAATCTTACCTTTTTCAATTCAGATTGATTGCAGTTAATATCTCAAATTGATGCCTCTCATAAACGTTAACGAATATAAGAAGCTCTTTTAAACAACTTAACGCCACTTATAACAGCAGGTACATCATGCATATACATAAATATTACCCCCAACCCAGTCCTATTTATCATTCCTGCCAAAGTCCAAATGTAAGATGTTTGGTATTTCTAAATAAAAGCAAGAACGAAAGGAAACTTAAAGAGACTGTTAACATCGACTTTATGTAGTCTAACCCAACTTGGTTCAGGCTCTTTTTTTGACACACAGATATTCTTTAGGTGTATTTGTGAGTCATTGCTATCACTATCAAACATTCTCAGTTTGTGTTTCAACAAAGACTTTATTATTTGAATAGCCTTAGTAAATTGATAACAATTGTATTTAAATGTCAAGGTGTCTGACATAGTAATAATGATTATCGTGTGTTTCAGTTTTGACAGCTTAAATTGGGCACAGTAGTGAAACATTTTTGATTGTTTTTTGTATCGTTTTTTTTAACAGCATAATTACAGGTTGGTCAACAGCCGTGATATATTTCAGTATGCAAGGAGAACGCGGAATTTGACATCGAATTTCTCTGTTTCACTTTTATTTTCATTTTTACAAAACTGCATTGTTTTTTTGCATGAATAATAATTAAGCTGGTAAAAGGCCTTTTAGATTATTTAAATATCGTTTTCTTAAAAGCATGACAAAGTGAAAGTGGGTTTAAGGAGAAAATGTGTTTGAAACGAAAGTTCATTTCAAGTTCAAAGTTCATTACGGAAGTTTTCAATTCATCCAGGTAAGTTAAACTAAGTATTATTTTTGTCATGTTATCAAATAGAGTTTGAAAACCCAGCCTGTTGTCTCAAAATGCCAAACCATATTACAAACTTTGATGGATATTAAACGGTCTAATGCGTATTTAACGAATCTTTCACTTTCCATAATTTTATATACTTCTTTCATTCAAGCATAGGTGTTGTAAATGTTGGTCTTTTGTCAATAGCTTGGAGTGTTTAGAAGATATCTTTAATGTCAAGCCATTTCACCTGAGAGTGTATTAGTCAAACTTTTAATTTTAAATTTCACTTTGTTGAATTTCCTCCAGCTTTGTTGTCATACAGATTTTTACGTTGTTTAAAAGACAATCGAGAAACGACAATTAAAAATTTAATTGTGTTTTATTTCATTAAAAATAAACGCAAATTTGGCCATAACGGGTTCACTACGATATTAGGTTTATGGGAAAAATATTGCAGTTTCATGTGAAAACGACTATTTGAGATATTATTTGGTTACTTCTTTGGGGTTATTTACATCGATGCATAAGCAAACATAGTTAACTGTAGATTTTTCCAATTATTTCGATTTCACAACTGACGTTTTTCTGGTGGAGAACATCGTTCAGTCACGCAAATCATCTCACTGATTAATATCAATTCTCAGGTCAGATGGAAAGGAAGAAAAATGGGTGCACTATATTTTAATTGTTTGTCAACTTATGCATGCATGGCCTCCCTTTTTACAAACTATTTCTGAACTTGTATTATTATTGTTAGTGGACCATTTAAGATTTACTTTCAATTATCTTCGTTCTCAAAAGTCTATTTCAACCAGCATTTATTGAATCGAACGTTTCCAGTTCGACTGTTTTTATTCCTTTGTCATTGAATGTGTTCATTTAACTGTATTTTCATGCAAACAAAACAAAGAATTCACTTCAGTTTTCGGCATGTCGATATTGAGGATTATATATGATTTTTGTAGACACTTAAGACTTTCTCGAAATCCATCAGTTGGTAAGCTGACTCGTTAAAGACAATAAGAAGTACCACGACAAGACATCAAATTCCCATTGCTCTCTTCCCAATGAAATAGATAATGGCATAAATACGCTGAAAATTGTTTCCTTTTCTCTTCCAAGATTCCTCATAACATTTAACCAAGATCCCATTACAAACATTGCTTGAGGTTATTTCATCCTGTTCCTAGCTTTATCATTTGGAAAATAAGTACATTTAACTACAATAAGCGGGGAGGGCAACGTCTTTTTTAATGAGGACTTTCCGTTATTCAACAATTTAAGAAATGGATTGATCGATTTGAATGACAAATAACATTCATAAAACAGAGACTTTGTCGTGGTGACAAACTTAAAGATGGATTTGAAAATAGCAAATACCTTGGTGAATGGTGATAATAACAATGTAATAGTTCTTAAAAGAACTGTTTTAACCAGAACACTAACTCAACAATTCAAAGGAACCGTTATTTACAGCTACAAAGATACACTATACATTTCGGCAGACTACTCGTCAGGTGTCAACGTCTGCTAAATGAGAACCTCCAAGCCATGCTATATTTATAACGTTACAAAAGGTCAATGTCATCCCTGTTTTTAGAGAGGACACTTAAAACAGAGACAGATTAAGCACGTAATCCTTTTGTCGGCAAAGGACAGGATTAGTCAATTTAATTAAACCGACTACAGTTTAATCAATTTAATTAATAAACTTTTCATCAGAAAACTTTAAAATTATTAAAAAATGTCACTCGTTATTCCAGCTGCGCGTCATCTCTAAAAGTAGGGATGACATTGCCTTTTGTAACATTATAAATATAGCATGATTTGGAGGTTCTCATTTAGCAGAAGTTGACACCTGACGGGTAGTTTGCCGAAATGCATAGTGTCTCTTTCTAGTTGTAAATAACGGTTCCTTTAAATTGTTGGGTTAGTGCTCTGGTTAAAACATTTCTTTTAAGAACTATTACAATGTTATTATCACCATTCACTATGGTATTTGCTATTTTGAAACCCATCTTAAAATAACATTCATGTTTTTCTCTTTACATGTTGCCAACAGATCTTTTTTTGTCTCGTTTTCCATCACAAAGACCAAAAATCAATTTGCTGCATCCAGTGCAGAAGGCAATCAGTGAGCTATGATCAAAGCTTTCTTGAGGAACATTCCGCTTAAAGTAAGAAAGCAGCAGTACATTTTAGTTTCAACAGTAAAAATTTATTTCATGGAAATAAGCTCCTTATTGATTGACAATAAACATATTTCACTTATTCTATTCAACGAATACATTATCCCTCGATTCATCAAAACGTTTTTGAAAACAGCCTTCCGTTTCTGAGTCTAATGATTGACACTAGCCTGTTTTCAAATGTTTTGCAGACGCAGACCCTAGTAAATATTATCGCATGAATACCGTGCTGAAATTGAGAATAAAGATCTCAGTATTGCACTTCACTCTCATTGACTTATAACTAGGAAAAAACTTACAAACTCGTTGCCCCAAATTAAAAAACGTTTTCGTAATGCTTAGACGAGAGGTAGTTAAATTTGCAAAGACTTGAATTTTCTCTCCAATATTTTTCATCACAAAATTAGAAGACAACTTAGCCACTTTCAGTGTAGAGAGCAAGCAGGAGCTCCGTTGGAATAAAGACGATGATGTTAGGACTTTCTTGAGGAACAATACACGTAAAGTAAGTATGCAAGCAATGCGTTTCAGCTTTAACAGTAAACATTCATTTCATCTTTCCCTGAATAAGCTTTCTGACGATTGCTGATAAACATATTTACCTTATTTTATAAATAACCTAATGCTTCTTATGCTCTGTTTGATGACTTTATTATTCTATTTATTAAAACTTTTTGGGAAGCAGCCATCACTCTCTGAGTCTCCCTTTACATTATTTACCTGTTTCACATTTTATGCAAACTATGTAAGTTGATATGCATGCATTTTCTTGCAAAAATACAAATAATTTTAGTGTAAGTTCTCAATATTGTTTATTTCACAATGTGTAACGTCGTGAATATTGCAGTGATTTCGTGGATAGTGTTTAAAGCAGGATGAAAACTATTGGCTGCTGACAAGTCATAACTTTCTTAAATTGAGTTATCATTTGACTTCTTTTAGATTTGCACATCTGATGACATTCCAACGTTTCGTCAAACTCCTCCATCTCCTTTACCACATTCTGCAGGTAAAAGAATAAAAAAATTTCTAAAACTTGTGACAAGAAAAACACAACAGTTATATAGTAGAAAGCCATTTTGGAAAAATGAAGCACATACGCAACTTCACTGTTTTACTGCTTTTTGATCACCTATTCCAACACCTCAGAATCAGTCTCCCGAAAGAAGATCAATCCTTTAAATATTGGTAAAAGAAGTCCTCTGCTGGGCAATGTAAGTGAAGTGAAACATATAGTGCGTGTTAATGTCTACGTTTCAATTTAAAGAAAAAGAAAATTCCAGCATTGCGCTGAAAAGTTGAAAACCTCCAAATCTAAAACAAGCTGCTTGTCGCCACTTGATAGTATTGTTGAAAAAACGTTGAAGCCTGTAAAAAACAAACGAAAGTTGGTCAGGCCCGCAGATTGGAATCTCTTTCCTCATATTTCTCCATCATGAGGTCAGAGGACAAATATTGTGTCTCCAATGCAAGAGAAGCAGCAAGCACCGCTATCCAAACTTTGTTAAATGAATCATGTACAATTTTCAGTCAAAGTAAACCACCTACATATGAAGAGACTTTGATTAAAATTTGGTATATATTGTTATTGCTAAAGATTTTTGTCCCGAATGAAGTCTCATCCTTGTATTATCGAGCTTTGTAAACACATATTTATGAAAAAAATTGGCCTTTCTTAATCAATTTGATAATTTAATGTAAGAAAATGCATATTTTTTAAAAGAAGAAGATAAGACTGTGAAGGAATTCATGAAGTCTGTGTAAAGATCACATTGACTTTATTCAACGCCTTAATGTCTTGGAAGAATTATTGAAGATATATCTTGGGCTGACCAGCCTTACTTTGACGGAAAGGATCAAAAAATTAGCTTCGAAGGGTCTAGGGAAGATGTTGTAAATGCTGAACAACAGTATAAAACTTTCTTAAGAAGATTGCGGTTGTTGCTCTTCGTCTTTGTCAAGAAATAATGACATTTTTGACAAAAAAAGCAGGGTTGAACTTTTTTGAAAGTTTTCTATCTCAAGAAAATATTGTGGCCGTGCCATTTGTAGAGTCTGAATCTATTATAAAGGTGGTAGTGCAATCAGAAGATTTTGACGCAGTGATAAAATGTTTAGAAAATAACATTCTGAGGAAAGACATATCATTGCTACTAGACGACATGCATATTTGGAATTCGAGATGGTTTGAAATACTCTAGGCAATCAAATTGGAAGAGATAATCAAATATCATAGAAATCATGCATCTATGAAAGAGAGCATTGTTCTTTATGGTGCTGCACCTCTCGTTGAATAATATGGCAAGGATGTCAGAAGTTTTCTTAATAGATTTCAAGATGCATTTTTCCTCGTTTACAGTGCTGTTGAACTGGTGGGCACTTGGGGGTGAACCCTCTTCTACCTTTGAAATGGGTAATTTGAAAAGGGCACTATTGACAAAAACATCAAGAGAGCCCCCATCTGATAAATTTAGTTCTACAGAACTGCTCGTTGATATTGATGATAAAACATCACGCTTTAAGAAAGAAAGACTAAAGAAAGAATTTGAGAATATTGAAGTTTCACTTAAAGAAGAGCATGTTAAGATAGAAATAATTTAGGATCACTAAGATACACTGGCACAAAACAAGGAATTGATGAGGCAAACACTCGCGTGATGAAGTTGAAGAAGGAAATAAAGACGAAAGCAAAATCTTTATTTTCTGTCGGAGTCCTTGAGTTATTTATTAACGAGCATGGTCTATGAACTTAAAAGGTATTGAAATTGAAACAAATGTCAAAATTGACATAACGGATAGCTACCAAGAAAACCATGAGGATGGCAGTATTCCAAAAAATATTGTAGAGCCTTATGATGAATGTAATTTCACGACGAAAGAATCTTTAAAGGTTTCTGGAAATATGGTAACCTGGTCAATGAATGTGTAAGTTCAATATTACGTCTTCATCATACTTTACAACTTGACAAGTGTTTCAGTGAAAACTTTTATAAATGGTGGTCTGCCCGCAAATTTCATCCTGTTATGTAAACATTAAGGCGGGTTGCACGAAGCCTGATAGCGTTATCCATTGGATAGCAATTTTTTTAAAACTTTTATAAAACCTTTTCAAAAGCAAAAGATATAAGATTTGAACTGAGCAATCACTGAAAAAAAATATTGTTTCGAAGTTTACAAAATTTCTTTGTCGTAAGAAAATTATAAACACTTTTTTACAAGTTTGAAAATTTTCGCTATGAATAACGTTATCCAAGCTTCGTGCAACCGGCTCCAGATGATTAACATTATTTACTTTTTTATACATCTATTATGTTTACAGTGATTGAACCCAGAAAATATACATAACGTGACAAAATTTGCAGGATGGCTACACAACTGCTTGCCACAATGAAACATTTACCCATTTTTTTTAACGTAAATACTGAAGTTTTTTGAGAAAATGTATTGAAACTGCTTTTGTGGAAAGCATTATTTAGTAATTTTAAATTGTTTCTGCATAGATATCGAGAAATTCCAATGTAAAATTTTGTGTAATAAACACTTTATTAGTCTTTTCTAAAATAAAGAAGAGCACATTCAAATTTAGTGTAAATCAGGGTCGGATCAATGCTCAGTTGACAGGAAGAGTGCAAATTTTCCATCGCGGATGCATCTTTATCTTAGCTTAAGTCACAAAGGCTATTGTGAATTTTTAGAAATGAACAAATCTTGCGAAACGAAACTACCAACTCATTTGCAGAATAGTAACAACTGAAAATCGTTGAAAACAAGCATCAGCAAACGTCAATACTGGATTCATCCAATTAATAAACGACGTGATCGTCTCGAACTATTTAACAACTTGATTAACGAATTACGAGTCGAACAATGTATATAGACACATAAAATACTTGCAAAGGACGACGACAAATTTCGACTACATTTTGGATTTAATTAGACCTCACATCACTTAAGTTGGCACACATCTTAGAAAGTCTAATACCCCTGATTTATCAAAATCTCTTGCCACTCCGCTATGTTTGAGTACAAAGTCTGATATTAATTAGCCAATATTATGCGTTTTCGTTAACGAAATGGTCAAAAGTTCAACTTTTCTAATATGCAGAATGGCACAAAGTTTTTATCGTGTAATAACAACGTCAAAAGACGAACGTTTTCAATATTTTTATCATTTATGGAGGGAGCCGGAAATATGTTGTATTTGGATTGCAAATCAAGTCAAACATTCTAACGCAAGGTGCTATGTTATTACATGATACATGATTGAAAATTTGCAAAGGCACATACAAGCACTAATACCCTGTTACTACCTTTTTGAAAAGTTATTATTTATTTTTTGTTAATGAATGCGCGTTAAGTGATATATTTCAATTTTAATATTTCAATTTTCTTGGGAGAGTGCTAATAAATATTTGGGGGGAGTGTATACACACCCTGCACCCCCAAAAAAATCCACCACTGGTGTGAACTACAAAGATTAAAAACCATAAACCTTTTGAATCATCTCTGAGACATTCTTTAAGACTATTGAATACTTTGCACACTTACGTCTATTGAATACTTTCCTCACAGGCTGATATTTTGGTCAACTCAGCTCTCTCAGATCTGAGCCAGCAAACAATGCTTGGACAAGCATTAAGTAACGTTGCTGGATTTTCATATATCGCTGAGTGTCGTCAAATTCCTCATGTTAACCAATGGAATATAGCTACGACAAAAAAGGGGGAAATCTTTCATGCATCTACGTCATTCATGCTGTTTGTTGTGATTGGAAGACTGAAGGAAAGTTTAAAGAAGTAAAGCCTGGGCCATACTATCGTTTATATTGACGAAAACGAAAACGAAACGAAAATTCGTGCACGAAATGCATGCCAGACACGACAAAAAATTACAAGCATGTTTGCAAAGCCAAAACGTTTTTGGCAAATAAGCAAGCGGCATTTTTGACAGATTAGAAAAAATGGCAATCTCTAAAAGAAAAAGACTACTTCTTCTTAAGAAAAAGTTAGTGCTTTTAAAGTTGAAAACAAGCAACAGCAAACGTCGATACTTGATTCATCCAATTAATAAACGACATGATCGTCTTGGACTATTTAACAACTTGTCAAAACGCCTTACACCTATTGGAAATCTAAAATTTTAATTTTTGTGAGAAAAAACTTCACATTGTTTCTTTCTTTTCAGTTGTTACGTGGACTTTTGTGGAAAGTTCTTAAGGAATGCAACCGTCTTGATGCTAAATCTGTAGCAATGCCGTTATTGGGAACTGGGAAACATAATTTTCCCAAAATTATTATTTTACGTCTAATGAAAGAAGAGTTCGAAAGATTTAGTTCTATATTTCAACAAAGTTCATTGAAAGAAATCAAATTGGTGATATGTGATCCGGTTAAGAGAAGACAAAAGAACTTGACCGGTATGTTGAACTTAGAGTATAAAATTTATCAAATTATTCACAATGTAATCAATATTTTTTAGATCAGTTATAATTTTCTCAATATTTAGACGCTATTTCATCCAATGAAAACGGACGCTCTGTTCTTTTTTTGCTTGGCTGTGGCGAAGAATCCATAACTTTTCAAATTTTTGGCCTTTCTGATGGACAAATCCCCGCTGTTTTACAAAAAATTGACAAGTTTATCAATCAAACTATTATAAAGAAGAAATTACACAGTGAAAACCTTTACGATGTCATCCTAAAAAATAAGGATGAAATAAAACAGATTGCAACTGATGCTCGCTTAAGAATGAAATGTGAGGATGAATAGACTATTTCTTTAATAGGTTTGCACAACAAAGTTAATAAAACAAGCATAGTTCTCAAAGAGCTCATTAACAAGTTTATTGAAGAAGAGAAAAGACTCAAACAACTGAAATACTTGTCAGAAAATGTTCAATGGAATTACTATGATGTACATAATAACTTTATCCACTGTAGTGAATAGATAAGCAAAGTACTCGAGATTTCTCATGTGAATGGTATACAAACAAT